CCGTCGCTGTTCGCACCGGTCCACTGAGCCAGCCGCTGATCACATGAGACAGCCAGCGAGGACCGCTGTCTCAATCAGACCGGCCGCGGTCCGCTCCGGTCCACTGAGCCAGCCGCTGGTCACATCACACAGCCAGCGAGGACCGCTGTCTCAATCAGACCGGCCGCGGTCCGCTCCGGTCCACTGAGCCAGCCGCCGGTCACATCACACAGCCAGCGAGGACCGCTGTCTCAGTCAGACCGGCCACGGCTCGCCCCGGTCCACTGAGCCAGCCGCTGATCACTTCAGACAGCCAGCGAAGACCACTGTCTCAGTCAGACCCGCCGCTGTTCGCCCCGATCCACTAAGCCAGCCGCTGATCACTTCAGACAGCCAGCGAGGGCCACTGTCTCTCGCCGGAGTGGAGCCCAGATCGATATCAATTAGCTCTTCTCCTTGCTGGAATAGCTCTGCAAAAGTGTTGGGTTTAGGATGGCCACATGGAGGCGGGCATGATGTAACGATTTTTCATCATGTCTGTGTTTAGTTCCAAACATTATGACCGAAGGCGCTGTGGGGACAGAGGCGGCGCAATTCTGGTAGTTTGAGGATCGTTAGGGTTGAGAAACTACGTCTGGAGAAGCATTTTCTGTATGTTCAAGGAAAAAGGCACAAACTTGCTTGCCAGACCGGTGACTTTTAGCAGAGATAGACTTTGCCGTCAGCTGTTTGTATAGCTCAGCGCTCATCCATGTGCAATCCCGGTTACTATCTGGATATTTGTCCGTCTTTGGATTGTAGGCCATGACTCACTTTGTATATATGGGTTAAGCAAACATATGCAGAGCGGTCGACATTTCATCCAAGCATGGTGCACACTGCTCGTGATTGAGCAGACTTCATTTCACTGGTGATAAACCAATGCTGACCATCGTTGTTGGGCCAAAGGCCGTAACAGGCCATATCGATTTGAGGACGGCTGAGCCCAGGGGCGGCGCCGCCGCGTGGGCAGGGTCATCCATACAAAAATCCGTCCGTTTAAAAGGCTCGGACAAAACATTGAAAAAGGAAAAAAATGACAAGATGTTCCACGGTCCATGGTCATGACCGGGAGGATATGGGTCTTCCACCTTTATTTTGCGGTGTTCTGCTGTACCCAGTACAGCAGAAGGCCTACCCGTACATGCAAGTTGTGTGGCTTCAGGCTGATGTGCAGTGGGAGGCCCCGGCCCTGAGAAATAAGAGGCCTCGTGAAGGGAGGCCCTGTTATGAACGAAATAAATAATCAACTATGTAAGGATCCTATCTGATGGAGAGCCAAGAAACGACGAGTTTTCATCGTGACCAAAAGAAGGCCCCGCCCTGTTCCGCAGACGCCCTGGATGACTGGTGCCGATGACACGGAGGCACGTCCTCACCATGGCGGGTACGGTCATGCTACAGTCGGGTAGACAGCTCCTTCAGGACTGAGAGGAGGCCTTTCTCATGGCTTAGAGCACGCCACTGTCGTGATGAGAGGAGGCCCTTGCCCTCATCGGAAGATCGGGCGACGTAGTGATCGAAAGGTCTCAGTAGCACAGGCATCTGAAATGATTAAATACAGTGGTTCCATGCAGATATATGCACGCTGAGGCTGCTCTGCAATTGAAGGATCTGACAGGGCCTTCATTATCTTCCCAGCGGCTATAGGATCTGAGACGGGCGTCATTATCTTCCCTGCAGTTCCAGGATCTGGCACGGGCTTCATTACCTTCCCAGCAGTTGTAGGGTCTGGCATAGGCTTCATTATCTGCCCAGCACCTGTTGTCATCATGACTGGTCCACCTGTTATTCAGAGAAGTGACTACTGAGTCTAGAAACGTAGCTGAGTACTAGAAACGTAGCCAAATTTCGCATTACCGGCGCTCGTGGGAAATATAGGCATAGTCAATTAGATACTACATTACAAAGCAGTTAAGGGCATGAGCAAATGTGCTGCATAGGCAGGCCCTTTTGGGCTCAGTGATTGACCCCCGCCCTGATCCATAAGGGTGCCCCCTGACCCAGCCATCGACTTTCCGTGCAAAGAAAAAAACAGTGAACGGGCTGGAGAGGAAATCCTGGAAACAGCTGTTGTGACGCGCTGGTAAGTATATCCGACTGTGCACTTGTCTGTCCTCTTCCTCGTGCTCTCATCGTCCTCTTTTCCTGCCTCGTTTTCTTGCTATGGAAAGTACACAATTCAGCAAGCTGTCTGGAAGGCGATGAAATGACATATTTGGGATCGTTGACCATCTTTATGAAGGCATCAAAAGCAACGATAGCTCACACCTGCATTAGCGATAGAGTATTGCGTAACTGATAGCAGGCGCCAAGGAATCCAGACAGCCGTTTTTGTTTGGCTTTGTCCACACAGTGGCACCGACTCACACAACTACAAGTCCTTCGAGCGAGGCAGCCGGCCACGCTGGCCGGCGGGTACGACGCGGTCTCAGCTAATAGAAATAAACAAAACGCGGAGCGAGAACGGTGACTTGCGGCCCGCGAGCGTTCTGGAGAGGCCAGCCATCCTGGAGAAGTGCCACTAATATTTCCTGGATGAACAAGCGAAGGCGCCGCTGGTGCTTCGAGGAAGGAAGGACTGATGCCGTCCAGCAACATGACGAACTGCTACTCGAGTCCTCTTGGCGTCGCCTCGACAAAAACTGTTTAAAGCTGTCATGACAACAAACTACTGAGCAGATCAAAACCACGGCAGTAACACACCCCAGCCGCCTGGGAGACAGAGCAAAAGGGAGTGGGGGTGGCTCGTCGGCCAACGGCACCGCCTACGCTGCGGCCGGCACCGACGGGGCTACTCGACGCTGACCCGGCGGCCGCCCGAGGCGGCGCGACCCCGACCGGAAGCGGGCGCCGTTTGATCGCGCCGCCGCTGAGGTCACGACCGGCTCGGCCCCGTACACAGCGGCTCGCTTACAGACGGCCGGTGACGGGGCCGGAAGGCCAGAGCAAACAGCCGGGTGCCACCGGAGATACGAGCAGGCGGCGCCGGTGTGGGCGTGGTGTCTGGCGGGAGGGGGGGGGGGCAGAGGTCTGCCGCCGTGATGACTGCTGGCATCGACATTGACTTTGGCCAGAGAGACCAGTGGGAAGGACCGCGGCATGCGAATGTGGGGCTGTTTACATTAATGCGCTGCAATGTGTGCCCTTGTTTATGGTACGCCTGCATGTTTTAACAGAATGCGACACACGTCGGTACGAGCTCTTTTGCGAAACACCAGAGATTGAAGCGGCCATGTTAGTGACTGAGTGACTGGGCGTAACCGGGAGTCAAAGCCGGGGCCCACGTGGGAGACTGAGGTCGCTTGCATCGGGTTGAAGTTGAGCTTGCGGTATGATCGCTTGCACCGGCATACCGCAGAACCGGCCCTGATGCCCCCTCCGTCAAGGCACTCCCCTCAGGCCTTCAGTTCTGATTGTCGGCAGGCAGCGGGGCAGCCTCGTCGGCGGCGACGGGCGTCGAGACGGCTCCGTCTCCACCATCCGGCCGGCGTCGCCAGCAGCCGGCCCAATTAGAGCGTCATGCAGCGGCGGCCGGAGCGGCCCGGAGAGAGCGCGCGCGAGCGAGGGCGGTGGCGCCAGCCCGACCAGAATGGCGCCAACCACGCGTGGCTAACGCTGACTGAAGGCGGCCTGCGATAGCACCGTCCACCAGCCACAAACAATGGCGCAGCCAAAACAAAGTCCGGCCGGCCATGTCGCTGATACGCATCTTCATTTGGAGCGCGCGGCGTGTGATGATATGCAGCGCGCCCGACCGCGGCCAGCGCCGGGCTGGCGCGGCGTCTTCATCCGGTCAGGGACGGCCGCCAACGGGCAGCGACGGGCTCGAGCGGGCGCGCTGGAGGAAGGCCGGAGCTCGGACCGCGGTCAAAGGTTGGGACATGAACGTTTTTATGGAGATCTTGTTCCCAAGAAGCGTTTGTGGACGTCATGATGAATTCCGCGAATGTTACGCTGTCCTGCCTCATGAGCGGCGCTAATGGAACATGATGGCCCTTGTGAGCACAGCATCGAGCTCAGATAAATGAGGAGGAAACGCGCGTTTTCTGTCCTAAAATAGCGCTTCATGCTGCTCGCATGGGACACAAATGCACTGAAAATAGCTACATTATAGAATAGATGAAACGGCTGAAAAAGTGAAATAGGTTAGCAGAAGGACGTACATACAGCCAGACAGCCAAACCGGCAGGCGGTCAGTTGGTTGGAAGGACTTGCGCTCACACATGGACGCTGGTACACACAGCGCATGCGCGCACAGCCACGAGATCGGCAAGCGCCTGATGCGTGGGCTTGGACCGCTCACACTCGGCAGTTAGTTCCCACCGATTCACCTGGGCATGGGCGCGGATTATCTGTCCAGGTTTGCCGGCATTTGCCAAAATATCCGGTGATCTGTCAATGAAGCGGCCTTATCGAAAGGAGCGGCTCGGTTGACAGGCTTGTGTTTGCTTAGCATCGGACGGCCTTCTGTCGGCGGAATCGCTCGGATTCCTTCATTCGCTTTTAAAAAGCCGCAATAATAGAGGCCCTCCCGCGCGGGGCTTTCATCGGACCCGCATCAGGACGCGACGGAGCCGTAAACGCGGCGAGTGGGCGGAAATAGGAAGGCGGCGGCGGGCCGGCGTCTGTTGTGCCCACAGCCCGCGAGCTCGGGTCCGGAAGTCGGGGTCAGAGGGCAGCGCGCGGAGGCGCGCCAAAATATCCCGCGGTTGCCGGCGAGCGCTCGAGAAGCCGGGGTGAGAGTGGGCTGCACGCAGCGTGCCCTTGTGAAGACCCAGCGCTAGGAAGCACTGGATGGTCATAATATACGGTTTATGATTGGCTAAACACGCTGGCCAGGGCTTCCCGTGTGATTTGACTTGTAAATGAGCCGTTGGCCGGCCGGTAAGAAGGAAGCGGGCGGGCGGCACAATAGAGAAAGCCCAGCAGTGCGCGGCCGGCCTGCGCGCTGTCACCGGCAGGCGCCGTCACTGCCTCACCCGTCCGCGCGCCGGAGGTGCCCGGCCGGCCCTGTACGGCTTCAGGTGCCGGCTGCAGGCGAAGGTGGTGCGGTCCGACAGCGCCAGGCGGGGCGTGTGCTGTCCTGTCGGCTCGCTGAGCGGCCGGCGCGCTGATGAGCTGGGCGCGTCAGGCGCCAGCTTCAGCGAGATCTCCTGCTAGGGAGAGGTGGCGAAGACTTACCAAAGAAGTCTTACCGCTATGCCTGCACAAAACACATTCCAACACCTACAACCATTTTGAGCACCAAGACGTGACGTCATTTTGGTACCGTCCTGGTGTACCGTACCGGGTGCCGTCGCACTAGCCAATCAACGGTCGTCGCGCCAAGGTGGGATGTGAGAGAGCAGCTGATCTCATGAACGTGGACTGCTGACGCGCTTGATATCTCACAGGGTTTTGCTATAAAGAAAGCTGATAACTGAAGCTCGAGAAGTGAAATATCTGTAAACAAACACGGCGGACGAATACACCATTCCTATTCACGATCTTTCGAGTCGCTTTCTCTCCTGCTCCTTGCCCCCCCCCCCTTCCTAACTATCGCCGCAGACTCCCTGCTGGCGGCATTGACGCGGGGCGCGCGGTGCCTTACACCGCCGTTTCTCTCGGTGTCGGCGCGACAAACGGCCGACCGCGGTGGGCCGGCGGGAGACGGAGACTGCGGTCGGGGCCGGCACGGTGTCGGCGCCACGCTGGGCAGCGCCTCAGGCCACCTGCCCCGAGCCAGCCGCCCCCCGGCGCAGACCAGACGGCGGGCCGGCCGCGCGGCCCGCCGGCGCGCGCGCGCGCTCCAAGAGCCCCGCCATTGTGCGCGCCCGGTGGGCGGGCTGTGATTGGCTGAGAGGGTGGCGCGCGGTCGCCTGCAGGCTGCAAAAGCAGCGCACTGGCGGATCAGACCGCGGTAGAGTGGCTGCCTCGATGGCGGTGCGATGGTAGCGCCTGCGCCTGCAACCAAAAGACCCAAACGAGAAACACCCTGAGTGGGCTTTTATGTTGATTGATGTGGAGTGAGGAACTGGGAGAAGTAGGCGACTGGGGCGAATGGCCCTTCATTCGTTAACGGGAATATGGGTGATGCGGGGTTCAGGCAGCTGAGCGGGTGGTGAGTCGGACGATGAGTCAATTTTTAAGTGGTAAAGCAGGTGCCACTTTAATGGAGAATGGCTGTTTTGTAAAGAGGTCGGCTGTCGCGTTGCGGTTTCCCACCACCGCAACTGGGAGATGACGTCGCTCGTTACCACGTGGCATGGTGCGATGAGGACGATGTGATGTGGATCTGGGAAGGACCGCGTCACCGACCCAGCGAAGGGTCGAATGAGCCAGCGAATCCTCACTGATGTGCAGACCGCAGCGCTGGCGAAGCTGCATCACATCACCACACCGCGCGGTCGGCGGCCGGTGCTGATCAAAATAACCACACCTCAGTCGCCACACGGCCGGACAATGGCTATCAGACTCAGCTCTGGGTTAACTGTTAGCGGCGGGCGATCGCCGGAGCCTCGGGAACGCGCCAAGCGTCGCTAGTGCGCCGTCATCGCCGCGCGGCGGGCGTGGCGCGCGGCGACCGACGCAAAAACGCGCCGACGGCCGTCACACCTGCGGGCTTCGGCGCGACCACACTCCACTAAACACGCGGCGCGCGGCCGCTATACCAACCCTTGCCGCCGGACGCGTCGGCGCGCCATTACCGGCGGTGACGCGCGCTTTTTTGCGCGCGCCGCGGCCGCATGACGCGCCTGTCGCCGCCGTCGCTGCCGCCGGCGCGCGGCTCTCTAATGCCGGCCGTAATTATGGCGCGGCGCGGCGGGGAGGCGCCGATTAGGTGCAATGAGCGCGCCGCGGCCGGCTATCAGTGTTTTGATCGCCCGGTCGCTACCTGCGCCGACATGGCACCAGCCATTGTGCGCGCGAGGCGCCGCCGTGTTTGCGGAGGGAGGTGGGGGAGGTGCCGTGTTTGCGGAGCGCGCTGCAGCCCAGCCCGGCAGGGAGCAGACACTCGAGGGCCGACACAGGGCGGGGCCGACTGGCTGGCCGTCGCTGATACGGGCTCATCTGGGTACGTATGTGTCTAAAAGACCTGTCGGTGCTGCTGCGATACTCCACGCTGTCATGCCACACACATGAGTGACTTCAGGAAAAATTTGCCGCGTACCATGACACAAAGTCCCTGAACAATCAAATAGCACTGCCAGAGAACGACGGCAATCAAAGCAGTTTAGGCACAGCGTATAGTGCTATCGCTTTGACGTGGCGCTGATGGAAACGACAAGATCGACGTTGTATGCATTCGCCCGGGATTATCGCGTCTTAATGCGACACGACGGAGGGGGGGGGGGGGGGGGAACTCCAGCGTTTGTCGTATCGACTGGACGTGAAGCCCCGAGGCCACGCTTACTAATGCTATCAGCGGGATTGGCTGGCTCCGGCGCCGACCATTGTTGTGGCGGCCGCCCCGCAGCTGACCGACGCCCGCGCAGCGGCGGCGCACAACACATCAGTCTCGCAGAAGCTCGCCCCCTGATCCGCGGCAAAACAAACACGGCCGCTGACGCGCGGCAGTGCGTGTGTCACGGCCACGACGGGCGCTGCCGTCGGCCGTCGGTCCTCACCTCCTTTGGGGCCGGCGCCTTATCACATGTCGGAGTCAACGTGAGATGGGGGAACGAGGGCATCTTGCGGTGGTGGTGAGCTTCACAGCGTTGAGCCGAGGGAACAGCGTGGCATCAGGGCGGTGCTCTGATGCATGTTTAGAAAGGAAAAGCTTCGCTGGAGAGCACATTTTCTTGTAGGAAATGCGAACAGAATGCCTATCTCGTCAGAAGTTGCTGCGACCGCCGCCGTATTTGCCAATAATTCGATTCGGTGATCTATCAATGATGCGCGTTGTGTGGGGCAAAATCTCGTCGAATCGCCTGTAAATGTTTTACTTTGTTGTTGCATGATGGGCAAAGGCACGATGTGCGCATCACCACATGAGCTTCGCTCTCGAGATTGCTGCCGCTAACTTACGCAGGTGAGGTGTGCGATGTTTTTGCATTAATTGTCACATGTCAACTCGTTTGATTAGGTTGCATGCGCGCTGATTCAGGAGACTCTTTTACGCAGAACCCCAGTGGAAAAATGTACAATGTAGTCAAGTATTTCTGATCTGCACCATTAAGAATCGCAATGAGATGGATTGTTAATATAAAAGGTGAGCTGGGAGGAGATAGGTCCCAGTTCTCCACACATGCTGCATGTCTGACACTTCACTTTATGCAATTACTTTACTTTACTCCATCTTTACTCCATCTCCTCCACTTTACTTTGTTTTACTCCATCACTTTATGCAATCCTGAGCAGTAGGTAGCACTTCTAGTCTATAAGACGGCGTGAACGGTGCCACAGGAGAGCAGGGGAGAGTAAACTCTTTAAAAAATTATTTGACCATTCACACGAAATATGTCGATGTCTCATGGAAAGAGTAAGACTTACCAAGCCACCTGCCAGTCTGCCTATGGTGCTTGTCACATAGGGCAGAATATGGGGAAAACATGAAGTTATTAGCTAGGTATTCGATTCCCAGTCAATGCCAACATCGCACAGGCCTCCTCATGTAAACGGCTAGCGGCGCTATCCTCCTCAGACCCCCCGACCATGCCTCGCAAATGCAAGCGAAAATCAGACATCGGGTTAATGTGTGGCCCGAATGAAGGCGGCGGACGATGAGGTTGTCGAGAAGGGACAATCAGTCAGAGCTGTGGCTGCTGACCTCAATTTCCAAGATCAACACAGGCGGTGTACGTCAGCCACTGCTGGATTGTATCCGGAGCCCGCATGAAACCGGCACATCACCACTCATCATGGGCACTCATCATCGTCACTCATCATGGACAGATAGGATGAACCGTCATGTGTCTGTCCGGACAGTTTAAGAGCAGTTTTGTACCCACAATGGCCAAGTGTGTAAGTGTATAACCGTACTCATTGGCAGCAGAGATGAACGTAACCACCCCTTATATTTTTCTGGGGTCCATTTATTTGTTCTGCCATCTTCCGTGGCCAAAATATACAAGTAGTCCAGCCTGCCCAAAAAGGTCTTGGGAGCCGGACCCCACCAACTGCAGTGGAGGTTAGTCCATGGTGGCAGCTGAAGGATCGTCCAAATGCGCAAAACAAACTCACAGCTGAACAAAGATCAGTGATCAGTAAAAACTCAAATGGATTACACGCATCCTGAAAAGCTATAGCATAGTGTCGTATACCTTCCTAAATGCCCCCACTTACTTTTAAGCTGCCGTGTTTCTCCTGGCCACGGCTAAATTCAACCAACGTGAAAGTTTTATGTGCGTGGATAAATGAAACACCCAAGCACATCTGAGCAGGGAGTCCTGAAAGTCGGGAGTGGATGCTCCGTCCTAGACGACAAAACCAAATTTTACTATGCCTTGGCTAGTGTTGATTTCAAACATTCTGTCTTGAAGCTTGACTTTGGGATATGTCGCAGGTCTCCACACTTCCCTTCATGGAAGCAAGGGGACAGCCACGCAAAGGTCTCCATTGGCACGTGCTCCCTCTATTCTCAAACTTATTACATACATAAATGTTTGCACAAATGTTTGTTGACAAAAAAAAATCGGGCAGAGAATTAAAATCAAACGATACGAAAGCACGTGATGTTTTTGCGTCATGACAAGGGGTTCGCGCGTCTGTAGCGCGCTTAACTGGGCTTTCGGTGCTATTTTCGGAGTCTGGTCCCCCATGTTGCGAATTCCTGAGTACGCCCCTGCTGGAAACGGCGCACCGCCCCGTTTGTGCAGCGGCTGTTGTTTCGCATTCTGTGTCCAGATATCGGAGGCAAGACCCGGCTAGATGGCGGGCGCCTTAACAGTCGGTAAACCCGCTTCGGTGCTGACAGGCGTCAGCCATCTCCGTCATCCCGCTAAGTGAATGTGAAACAAAGCCGCCCGGCGCGTCACGTTGAACGGGCGCGTGACAGCCCTACAACTGCGCTTCTCCGGAGGGTGAAGCCAGCCAGCTGGTGCGGGTAGCTGTGGGTACTTCTTGGAAAAGTGCTTTCTTGTTGTTTCAAAAGTTGTTACCGTGTTTATTGGTTCCGTAACAAACACATTACGCATTGATATGTGCAGGTAGGCACTGCACTCTTACACTTGTCAGTGCCTACATTATCCCACCATTGGTGGAGAAGTGGGATGCGTGCCCACGATATCCAATCAGTGGTGGAAAATACGCAATGCAATGTGCCACGCACACTAACGTGCACCTAACACACGTGGGAATTATCCGAAGAGTTGGTGGATCAAAACTCCTTTTTAACACGCGGTCGGGTAGCCGATTGACCAACACACTCTCGGGTCTGGGGTTGATTTTACCCCTCTAATACCTCAAAAAATGAGAAAGCTGGAGGCACCAAATGCATAGCGTGGGCTGGCCTATACGTTAACTCACTTGTGTCAAAATGTAAGATTACTAGGTCATGGCCATCACGTCAAATAAAGGGAGACAATGTCAAACTGTAGACTGGTGCTCAAACCTTCAATTAAAACCGCCCTGAACTTAGATGCCTAAAACGCGTTGAAACCGCCTTGAACCTAGATATCTAAGCAAAATGTCCCTGATGTTCATTTTAAGTTAGTTAACTTTTTTGACCTTAAAGATTGTGGTGACCAAAATCCTACCAGGCTGTTTCCATTTTTACATTTGAAGAAGCGTCGAGGACTACGCTAGGTGGTATGTTGCTGAGAACAAAGTGTTGAATTGGGTTCTTTTAGGCCAGTGACCTACTCTGACTTGTAATTAGTCCACGAAAGATTCTGTTGCAGCCGCTGTTACAAAAATCGAAATGAGTATCGGAAACTGCCCCGAAACTGAAACTGAAAAGTAAAAAACGGCCTGGGTTTGACCACGATCTGATCTTCACACCTGATTCAAGGTCGACAAAATTTGTTGTTTTCCTATGTTCCATTGTCAATTTTTTGTCTAATAAACTATCTTAGGGGCGTGTCGGTTTCTGTTACACTCCGTCGTCGCATCAAATTGAACGGTTTTCTAGAAATTGCGTTCTTTGACAGCCACAGCCTGACTTTGACTTGCCGTAAGTCAGCGACTTTACAATCCATGTAATTCTTTAAGGCAAAATATTTGCCATTCAGGTGCCGATAACTATGCAAAGTTCGACGCAGCTGAGCCGTGCCTTTCTGAAATAATTCTGGAAAACCCTCGAGGGGCTGATTTCCTTCCGAGCACGTGCTATTTGAAGCAAATTTAAAATGTTAGACAAACGTGGGGACACGAACTTAGTTTTAGCCCACTTCATCTTTTCAGTCATCTTTTTCAACTGTACATTGTGAAGATCCCTGACCATCTTCGGCCGCTTGGATGCCTTCGATAATAATAATCTCCATATGTTCACAACATTCTCCAAATTCTTTTGAAATTCTCGTGTTTTGGGCCATGCAGCGCCAAAGCACCCCCACCTACCGAAAATCATGTCGGAGACTGGTGGCAGCCTCCGCATCACTGACGAACCCTAGTCCATTGATATTGGTGATGAGGCGCGATCACGCTCACAGCAGGTATTCCTTGACCGCGGACTGCTTCAGGTCACTCTGCGCTCTGGGGCCGCTTGATCGTTTCAGAACCTTGGCTGTTTGTGGGTCGTTGCTTATCCTCAGCACTTAAGCGTGTAGAGACCCGTTTTTAATCGCCGTGTTCCACCCTGATCGATGTGGGGCTTCTTAATGGTTGTGAAGGAATTGTTGACTATTGCTCGTGATTGTCTACAGACCCCCTGAATGACAAAGGTTATTAAATTAGCCCGGGGCTCTTGATGGACCCAAAACTCTGGACTTTAAAATTTCAGGAATTTTGAAATTTAGGGGTCCCTAAAGCCATGTTGGTTTTCTTTTGCCCTTTTAGGTAGTCTTAAGGAAGACGTCGTTGGCACCTGGCCGTTTTGGACCCGTCAGCATTTCGGTCTGTGGCTGCATCGCCCTCTGGTGGTTTTCTAGTACTTTCCCGTGAAATTTAAGTAATCTCACGAAGGAGTCGTAACCACCTTTGGTGTAAGATATTTACGAAATCCATTCGCGGCCTTGCCATTCGATTATAGTTTCTGCAGCAATGTAACAATGCTCCCTCATCCCCCGGAGACGCCACCGCTGGCACTTACCGAAATGGAATGCTCTACCTGACAAGAATCATGTGTCGCCTGCATATGCTACACCGATCTAGGCAGGCAAAGCCTATCTCTCAAAATGTTTGGGCTATGGTGAATAGCAAGACCTTAGCTGTTGCTGTGAGCTGGCTCGGGTGTATGCGTCGGGGAGCATGTTTCTATTTAGACCTAATGCTGAAGGCTTCTTTGCGGCCGTTTTTTAACTCGTCAGATTCGAAAAAAATATTTCGATGCTGGGAGATGGCCGTCGTTACCTTTTTCTGTGTGCATCGAAACAATGAGCCGACATAGGCAAAGCACCTCTTCCCGTTTTTTAAACGGGGCGTTGAGGGCCATGCAATATTCGATGGGGTGGCACTGGGCCCGGGGCCTCGTTCAGCACACTAGGTTAATCGTGAGCACTGACTCGGCCACTGCAAATGATCGGAACCGGATACATTACTGTGGGACGGTGACCCCAAGTGCGTACGAATCCCGTGAAAACCCTGGCAAATGATTTGCAGGAATGTTAAGCTACCCAGCGTTTTAGCCTAAGGGAGGGCCCCGCCATTTCGTGGCTCTTCTCTACCGGGGATACGTGCAGTCAGTTCCAACTGTGGTGGGAGGTACAACATTTGACTGATGATGGCCTGATGACCGGACGGATTAGGCGTCTCAACGTTGCCTACATATACGAACCCGGTCTAGCGAACTACCTGCTTACGTGCGTGACTACTAGGCCGTAACAGAACAGAATCTCGGATCACGTTTCTTCGTAAGCGAAATTTTATATTGCATATCCTTGCGAAATATTTCTTCACTTGCATAAAATCATGCATGGAGACCTTCGTAAACCCAAATATTCGTGGCCAACTTCATCTGGACATGCATTTGCCGCGCAAAACTTGATATCCGAAAAGCCAAGTGTATTCAATATTGCGTATGACATGTGCGCAATTAATCGTGTCGCATTCATTCACATTCCAATTTGTATTGCAACTCTTCCTATGCGCCTTTCTCGGTATCGCATTTCTTAACATGCAATCAACTTATACCGTACATTTTCCTTCGGCATTCTCTTCGATTTTTTCTATTTTTTTCGATTTGCAATTCCTCGCAAAGAGGGATTCGGGGATTTGGGAGGGATTTGATCCAGCCTAACTCAGATAGTGAGCAAGTTAGTGCACAAATCGGACGCAATTCTGGCATGGGCGGAAACACGGGTATGTTGCGTTGCACGACACGCGCGCCTTTTAGTCAGTTTGAGAACCACGCGCGATTAGCAAACCGACCGATAAGAAGCATGCTTTGGGAGGACTTGGGTTCCTTCTGGGTTGCATCTGATTCCTTTGAGTGCTTTGTGAGTTGTGCAGCGTTTTTGTGCACATAATTCATCGTATTTGGAGGTACGCATGCACGAGCAAAGCTTCGTCGTTCGTGCGCAACTCTCACCATCATATGGTGAGGAACAACTACTAGCTACTAATTTATAAAAGCATGTATACATTGATGGCATTGGTTTAAATCGACGATTGGCCCTAGTTGTTTTAAAATGGAAGATCAGCAGGTGGCAATGAATAATGTGCGAAAAATCCACACCGCGCCATGTGTGTCTAACTGGGCACTCAACATTTCAAGCTGACACAAATGTGCCATCTTCACTGCTTCGCATTTGTATAGATATCTGTGGAAACTGTGCAACAGATATTGGATTCAAAACGTGCACGTGAGCATAATTTCCACATATAACGGCCACCAATCAGCTCTCAACCAATGTTGTGCAACCTATGCAAAATTCTGATACGAATTACGTTTTGTGCTTCATAATACAATATTTTATGCATTCTTTCTTGTTCATGCGGGAGTAAGACATGTAATCGAATTACTTCAAATAGCGCTACAACAGTGAATGTGTAAATACTCAAGCGCCTGAAACTCACGGATAAATATGCAAGATCACCACGAAAGGGGCCACAAGACGAGCACCGAACGATATTTGGTTCACCACACATCCAGCACCACTGCGGGCCACCTCTCAGGAGATTGAAGAGCTACAATTGAGTGCTGACGCTCAAACGTTCCATAACACAGTCAAAGAATGACGCAATGAGGATCGTATTTATTAAATAGGTATATTTTGTTCTCACTTCATCATATCCGATCTTACTTCATCATATCCAATTCTTGCTTCAATATCTCCCAATATGGAACATTCCCTTTAAACAAGGCATAATCGACGGAGTCCTGTGTAGGACTGTCTCCTAGGATAAGGGAATGTTCCTCCATACGAGGCACAGATGGCCTAGGTTGTCTTGGTGGCGAACAGCCGTGTCGACTGCAGAGGGCGCCGTTTCTGTGAAGCGAACTCCAACGTGGGCATCTCATTGGCCCGGGTATGGAAGACTGACAGCTGGGCTAGATGAAGGGATAAGGGCCACCAGCAGATAGTCAGCCCTTCACCCCATTCATAGTCATGTATGGAGACAGAGAACCGTGAGATGCACGATGGAGTGATGCAAGGATCCTGCTAAGAACGATAGATTGTGGGGAAAAAGAGGAAGGAGAAGACAGGAGGGAACGACGGAGCAGCCATGCGGATAAAGAGACGCTAACGTTTATGATTTGCCATCAGATAAACCATGCAAACGAATGCTTGCGCAAAAAAATGTAGTGCAAAGAACTACCTGTGCGGAGATGTGCCATGTGAAGAAACGCAGCCCGGAATCGCATGCACGTATAAGTGTGCTACGAAAAATCGCGCGCATAAAAGAACGCGATGTGAATGAATGTGTGTATGAAAAATCATGATACGGAAAATTAATTCGAAGGAATGAGTTCGTTACGAAATGCGATACAAATAACTGAGCCTGCAAAGTTCTACGGATAACGAGCATTCATGCATATACATTTGCATCCAAGGATTTGCAGTAGGGTCATGTGTTTACGAAGCGTTGTGCACACAACTACGACATGAATGTCTGCATGCGAAGTTTTTTGTACGGAATACGAAGAAAACATGCACGTGAGCAAAATTTCTTCAGAGGAAGGGAAGATATCAAATTTTTCCGAAATATGCGAATATGAACCAAATTTCGGCGAATCCACCCATCATGTAGTGCAAACTTTTTGGCTCTGGGAGGGGGGGGGGGGGAAGAGCCCCAGTGGTCTTTACCTTGCCAACGCCCCGCTGATAAATGCCATACGAAGTTTTGCCCGGTTACCTAGGGCAGCAGCCAATATCTCTAATTTATTCAAAATCCAAATAATCCCAAGATAACTATTTCAAGGCACGTACTCATCGACGACAATAAGTTTAACACATTGATAGAAGGACGATATCATGGTAGTATGGATCCACTTGAGGAATTGACCATGCATGTAAATAAAAATTACACGGACTGGAGTCAGCAAAAACGTACAGGCACTGCCACCTATCGCAAATGGTAAAAACTAAAGGTTTATTTTATATGCATAGGGTTTTGGCTCCGTTGGTGGGTGCGTAAAGATAGAACGTAGAATATATCCATCATGGTCTTCGTACCCAACCCTTACACCACACCAACACCAGATGATAGGCGCATTGGCGTGAGCATAACGTAGCCATGCTTGGACTGGTGCCGGCGCTGGTATCGGTCGAATCTCCCGGTCTTGCCTAACCGACCCATCACTCCAGCCCGGCCGACGCCGGCCCACCACCGGCTGCCGGCATCTCGGCATACACCACGGTCTTCCAACTGCAATACGACATGCCGTTTCTCGTCCAGGGGTGGCGGGTCCATCCAACCAGGGATGGTGATCAGGGACAATGAGCGTGCAGCATGTCTACGCGCACAAGACTCACAATGAGCACGAGTTACTGGCAGGAAACTGAAGCCACTACACACGACCGCAGACTACGTTGGGAAAGTAAGCAACACATTTTTATCGAGTTTCAGAATGGACCTCGGGCTTTTTTGGAGACTGGGCCTCCTTGTACTCGTTGGGAGCGTAATCAACAAACCGTGCCCATGCATTTCATAATGTGCATGCTTATACAGAAGGATGAAGCGGTCAGGCAAGGATTTGCGCGATCGCTTGCTAACACAACAACCATTTGCACGCTAAATGTAACTTCACTCGTCTTTTCTGCCAACACGTCCTTGTACTCGTTGGGAGCGTAATCAACAAAACCCTGCCCATGACATTTCATACTGTGCATGCTTATACAGAAGGATGAAGCGTTCAGGAAGATATGCCCCCCCGGGGCGATTCCGCTTGCTAACCCCAACAAACCATTTGCCACCGCTAAATGTCACTCCATTCGTCTTTCTACCAACACTTCCCTTGTGATTGACTCCATTCCCTTGTTCTCGCCGATGTACACCGCCACCGGACCAGGAGACATTTCCGTGGAGCGCCGAAATTTGAAGCCTTCCAGAGATATCCGGGATATCCAAAAATCAGAGATATCCGGGCCAACAGTTAGTTGCCAGGTCTTTATTACAAATAATAGCACGTTTAACGACTTCACAATGGCGAACACAGCGTATGACGATGAGAGCCCTCGCCCACGGCCCATGTCGGGCCGAGGTGGGCGCCGGTCAGTTGAGCCGGGCGGGCGCCAGCGACTGGTACAGCTTGGTGACGGCCGTGTGCACCGTGTTGCGGAAGATCTCGTCGTCCTCGCACGTGACCGTCATGTCGGCCAGGTCGATATCCGCGCGCCGCCCGCCACACGTCACATAGAACTTGTCGCCCTTGAAGAACTTGGGCACCGACTCGTCGCCGAACATCTCCTGCAGCGTCTCGATCAGACACTCCTTGTAGTGCATGCGGTCGAACTTGAGCGGCCGCGTGGGCGCGTCAACGCGCGTCGTCTCGGCCTTCAGCACGGCCGCCAGCACGGCGTCGGCCAGCATGTCGGCGCCCGGACTGGCCACCCACTCGAGCACGGCCGTCTGGCCGTCCAGCGTGACGGTGACGGCCTTGAACAAGCGCCACTGGTGGCGGCCCTTGGCCGGCTCGAAGTCGGCCGCGATGTTGGACAGCACGTACTGCAGCAGTTGCGGCGAGCCGGAGAAGTGCACGCTCAGCCGCTGCGACACCTGGCTCTGCGTCATGTCCGTGTACTTGCCGAGCTCGTCGGGCGAGAGCAGGTGGTAGCTGAAGTTGCGCTTGACCAGCACGCCGGCGAGGTGGCGGCCGTCGGTGGGCGGCTCCATGGCCAGCGTGCCCATCACCTTGGCCATCTTCTCGCCGCGGAAGTGCAGCGTCACGGCCACAGTGTTGCGCGGGTTGTGGATCTGGACGGCGCCGCGCTGCGGGTCGGCGGCGTACTCGCGCAGCAGCGCCTCCTTCAGGCGCGACATTACGTTCTGCTCGCCGTGCACCAGCACGATGTGCGGCGGGCGCAGCTGCTGGATGAAGTCGGACGTCTGCGCGTAGTCGGTGTGCGCCGAGAACGAGATATAGTCGACGGACATTTTGAGCGGGAGCTTCTGGCCGGACATGGTGTTCACCTCGTCCGGCTCCGAGAGAAGGTGCTTGGCCAGCGTGCCCTCGACGCAGTAGCCGGCGATGATGACGCCGTTCTTGGGGTCGGTGCACCACGACTCGAAGAGCTCGCGCGACAGGCCACTCTGCATCATGCCCGGCGAGGC